AAAATCAGAATGGTAAGCTTTTTGTTTTAAACAAAACAACTTAAATATCTGGAGTAATAGTGGCAGCTGCTATTCTAATAAAGTGTGACAGAAATATCTGCCACATATTTGGGATTAATTTGTTGAACTGATAAGATTTCGCTGTTTAGTGATTTCATTTAAATGTATTTTTTCTAGATTTTAAAATTAAAACGTTATAATTTTGACGTAACTGAAAATTATTATGGAATAATAAAGGTCTAAATAATTGAGTTTAAAACATGGTACAGACATTTAAAAGTGAAACAACTTCCAGAAATGTAAAAAATATATATTAAAGTTAAGGGGAAGTTAGAGATTTCTCACTAGTGATTTAAATCAAATCCACTATGGCCATCAGTGATGATACAGAAAGGAACGAGGTCGGCACACCTATGGCAGAAACAGAAAAGAAAAAAGAGGAGACCACAGAGAGAAAAGGGAAGAGAGGGAAAATGTATAGGGATTGAAGGGTAGGCAAGAGGAAGTAGAAAGGAAAGGAAAAGAAATAAATTTAAATATCTTATGTGCCTATCAAGAAATCATTTCGAATTTATTAAGCACCTACTATATGCCAGGCACTGTGCTTAGTGCTAGGTATTATTTATTTAAAAAAAAAAAAGGCAAAAGGTAGTCACAGCCTTCAGGGAATTACAATCTAATAGGGGAGACAAAACGCAAAAAACATATATACAAAGCAAGCTAAATACAGGATGCGTAGGAATTAATAGAGGGAAGCACTAGAAGTAAGAGGTTAGGAAAGCCTTCCTGCAAAAGATGGGATTTTAGTTGGGACTTAGAGAAAGGCAGGGAGGTCAGTAGTCAGAGAAGAGGAAGGAAAACATTTCAGACATGAGGGACAGCCAGAGAAAATGCCTGCAGCCAAGAAATGGAAAGTCTTGTTCATGGAACAGCCAGGATGCCAGTGTCACGGGACAGAAGAGAATGTGATGGACAGTAAGATGTAAGAAAACTGTAAAGGTAGGAGTGGGTTAGGTTAGGAAGGGCTTTGAAAGTCAAACAGAAGATTTTCTATTTGATCCTTGAAGCAACAGGAGTCCACTGGAGTTTACTGAGTAGGAGAGTGATGTGGTTGGACCAAGATGGATCCTAATGGGGAGAGACTTAAGGCAGCAGACCCACTGTCAGGCTATGAAATACTCCAGTTGTGAGATGATGAGGACCTATATTAGAGTGGCGGCACTGTCAGAGGGGAAAGGGAAGCATATTTTAAGAAATGTAGTAGAAGTTAAATTGACAGGCCCTGACAACAGGTTGGATTGGCGTGCGGGAGTGAAAGATAGTGATGATAACTCCTACGTTGCAAGTTTGAGAGACTGATGGAAGTTTGAGGGAAGATGGTGTTGCCCTCTACAGTAATGGGGAAGGAAGGAAGGGAAGAGTTTAAGGGAAAGGCAATGAGTTCTGTTTTGGAAACCCTTAGTTTCAAATGTTTATTGGACATCAGTTTGAGATGTCTGAAAGGCAGCTGGAGATGAGAGATTAGAGGTCAATAGAGAAGTTGGAGCAGGAAAGGTAGATTTGAGAATTATCAGCACAGAGATGGTTATTAAATTCATTGGAACTGATGAGATCAAGTGAAGCACTATAGAGAGAAAAGAGAAGAGGACTCAAGGCAGAATCCTGAAGGACACCGATGATTAGAGGGGACATGATCTGGATAAGGATCTACCAAAGGAGATTGAGGAGTGGTCAGAAAGGTAGAAGGAGAACCAGGAGAGAACAATATCCTGAAAACCTAGAGAGAAGACAGTATTAAGGAAGAGGGGATCAATAGGCTGCAGAGAAGTCAAGAAGAAGGAGAATTGAGAAAAGGCCACTGGATTCAGCAGCTTAGAGCTCACTGGTAACTTTGGAGTGAGCAGTTTCAGTGGAACAATAAGATCATAAGCTGGCTTGTAAAGGGTTAAGAAAAGGGTGAGAGGAAAACAGAAGCACCTTTGCAGATGGCCTTTTTGAGGAATTTGGCCACAAAGGACAGAAGAGATATAGGATGATAGTGGGAATAGAAGGATCAAGGGAAGGGTTTCACAGAGTTAATAGAAAAGATCCTATTCCTAGATTATCATGTGTGACCTTGGAAAGTCAAAATCTTGGGGAAATGATGGCTCAAACTACAATCTATGACTGTAATGGAACATTATTGTACTATGATAAATGACAAAAATGAAGAATTCATAGAGACCTGTGAAAATCTGTTTGAAATAATGCAAAGTGAAGTAAGCTGAACTCAGGGAACAATATACATAAGAACCACACAATAGTGCAAACAAAAATACTGAAAATTTCAGAACTCAGTTCAATGCATTGTCCAATCCTGACTCCAGATAACCGATTAGGGAGGCAACCCCATCTCTTCAGAGAGAACCAGGCTGTCATACATAATCAATTTGATAGCTTATTTAGTTTAATTGTATTTTTGTTAAAGGAGAGTGTTCTTTGGGGAAGGAAGATTACTGGGAAACAACATCAATGTAAAAACAAGCATCAATAGGACATTAATTAAAATAAATGTTTAAAAAGGAAAGTCGCATTCTCTCTGGCCTTCAATTTCCCCCTTTTGATGACAGGCATTATACCTGCCTTTCCTTACTTCACAGTAATGTTTTAGAGTACGATGAATTTGGGAAAGCACTTTCAATTAAGTCTTTATTATAATATGAACATACTTTTAACTTAACAACTTTTAACCTACAATCATTTTAATGAAGGAAATCCTGTAGAACTGGCAGCAAAATGCAAGTGATTCAATTTTAAACAGAATTTTTTATCAATTATATTAAATTAAGTTTAACAAAAAAGTTAATTTGCAAAAGACTCCAAACAACTTCAGAGTAAATTCTGGATGACTGAAAAGAATATCTCAACATTATTGCTGTAGAACAAGTCTGAAATGTTTATTTTTCTCTAAGGTTTCCACATGATATTTACACACACACACACACACACACACACACACACACACACACACACACAGAGTACCCTCAAATTAGCTGTCTGTACCAAAAAAAAAAGCAAAAAACAAACAAAAACACAAAAACAAACTTAAGTGTTTCTGATGAATAAAAGATATTAGCTGGTTGAATGTTCTCAAGTGTTTTGAAGTTTGGAGTCTTTCAAGTAGAAAATACATTAGCAAAAACCTCTGCAATAAGATCTCAACAATATTTTTTTTAATGGTACCAAAAAAATTCAAAGGTTTTTTTTTAATTTATATTTGAGATCAACTTTATTCCAAGTATTACTTCTTACTTAGTGAAAAGAATGTGGCTATTTACTATAATGAGTGGTCTACAAATGGAAATAATATTGAATACAATACTTCATAGGATGCTTCACAACAAATTCAATTCTCCCCTCCTTAGTAAGATATTAGTCAGCATTTCTAGGGAATTGTGGTTCTTTGCATTTTCGCTTTAAACATTTGAGGCTTATTTTTTTAATTAAGTGTTCAATTTACAAATGCCTATGAAATGCTACCAAAGTGATAGAACTAGTTTAAAACTTTTTTTCATAATAAATTACACAGAGTACCTCAGGACCACCAGAAGTAAACCTGAATTAGAGAAACATGGCACAGTGGCTAGCAAGATGACCCTGAAGTCAGGATTACCTGGGTTCAAGTTCCCAATATGACTAACACTGGTTTTGTGACCCCTGGGACAAACCATTTAACTCTGTAGCCCTGCAGGCATCATATCTGCACTGGAAGAGGGAGTTTCCCATTTCAATGTATTCACAGGTTCAGTCACAGTCTTTGTCCCTGTGGATGTTTGCTTCATCATCAGAGACTTGGTTGTTAACACTTTTCTCTTATTTTTAGGATTTTTTTTCTGATTTTACAATTATCTATAATTGGCCATTGATGTAGAAATGTAGAGTAGCTTTTTTTTAAAATACCAAGAATATAAATGAATGTTGATCATTTTAAGTCAAGCTGAAAGATCTTGTTGTATATTCTTTTCTGACACTGTAATTTTTTTTCTCCCTAGAATCCCTTAGACTGCTTCATGGAATCCCAGGGGACTGTGGAAAACAGTTTGAAAAACACTGGTGTAATCCAACTTCCTCATTTTATAGATGAGAAAACTGAGGCTCAGAAGTTAAGTGATTTCCTTAAGTTTATAAAAGTAATTAGTAGGAGAAAGAACCTATTTCTCCTTACTCCCAGGGTCAGTGTTCTTTCCTCTTTAATAAGCCAACAGACTTTGGATGCATACCAAAGATAACTTCTTCTTCACTCTACTACGAGAAAATGAATCCAAACTGGCACTAAGAATGACCAAAATAATTCAAATGGAGGTAAAATGAAAGATCACGTTGTAGGTTTTTCCCAAATTAAAGTACATTAATGGTACAGATACAGAAGGCAGCATAGTATACTGAACAGTTGGCTTCCAAGCCTGGAAGACTTGGGTTAAAGCTCCACTCCTACCCATACTGGATGTGTGGCCCCTGGCAAATCAGTTGACCTATTGGTGCTCTAAGCAGCTCTCTAAGATTATGAGTTGCAGAGAGTGCCGACTTGCATTGGTGGAGGTTTTCTCACCTGTGAGGTCCCCATACTCAAGAAATTTGGTCCAATTCTTTTCCCAAATGATACGAATGGCACTTTCAGCCAAAGTGCTTACCAGCTAAAAGGAGTTTTATTTCTTTTAGTTTTACTATGTAATGGATAGTGGTAAAAATTATCTTAGGGCTCATTTTTGAGTGGAAATGCCTCTTGCCCATACGGTGAGAGCTGCATATGTATAGCCACTTTTCCACTGTGAGATGCCATCTTTCAGATCCACTAGATTTCTAATTTGCTCCTGAAAATGCTCTCAGTGAATCTTAGGTAACAGGGCAACAATGAATAGTCTGTCTTGGGTGTCTAGTCTGGTATTTTTTATTGTGTTGAACATTCCATGGCTTTGTGGATAACTCTGTAATCAACTAAGCTTCAGGAAAACTATACTTACTTCAACAGCTCCAGGGTTTTGTGATCCAGGGCGAGCCGAGGGTTTCCAGTCAAGTCTAGTTCTTGTAGCTTTGAAGGCAGGTTTTCAGGTAATGTGACTTCACTTAGCTCATTACAGCTCAGGTCCACACACTGAAGGCACAAGAGAACACAATAAAGAAACGGGGAGAATTTGGAAATGGTCCAGCTCTGTCACAAGGTCCTACCCTTTTCTGCCTAATTAGGTCACGCGTAAGACCATTCAGTACTAAAAGAGGCTGAATATGGAAAGACCAGACAGTTTGTTTACTGCTCTGCCATAAATATATAAATCAGCCTTTAAATTAATTACAATTAAATTAAATGCAATGTAAACGTCTTTTTTTGTACTTTTCCCTCAGATCACAGAATCACAAATGTTACCACACACCCTTCATTCCTTCTTTTTTGTTGTTGTTGATTTTAATTAAACATCAACAGAAACATTCTGAAGACAGTGGATTCTCTACTGCCCACACAATCTCTGCAGCTGTTTTGGTCACAGAGGTTGTGGTTACAAATAAGAAACTATCAAAATGCAACTTATAAAAGACTCTGTACTTTAAAAGAAACATTCAAAATGAGGGAACTATCCATGTATAAGATGAGAGGGCATGCTTCCCAAAAAGCTCCATTAAATAACTAGCTCAGTAAAATACAGCAGATAAAACTACTATCTGAACTTGCCATTTAATGGGTGACACCAAATCTGACTTGAAAACATGAAGCCATATTGAATAGGGTATGACTGTGGTCACATTAATGGAAAATCATCCAGATGACAGAGAAAGCAAGAATGTAAAGGCTAAAATGTACCAAACTGAAAAGATAAACAATCAGTAGCCACCATTCTCTAGTTATATGTGGTCTGGCTTTGGGGAACATCTTAGTTAATGGTAATGAAGAAGGGTTAAAGAGAAAATGAAGTTTCTGAATAATGTAAAATTACTAAGAAATCTAAAGCAGGTTAAATCTATGGACAAATCTTTTGTTTAAAATTCTCTTTAAAAGACATAATTATGGACAGGAAATGTGGGCAAAGTGAAAATCAACAATTTTGGGTACCATATCTTCCACTTTACACAACAATATATTCATAAAAGATAAATAATTTTTCTCTATGCCCCCAAAGACCAGTGATGGTGGATGACTGCTTTAAAAAAAAATAAAACATTTTAGTTTAGTTCAGCACTCAAGACTTTCCATGCTCTGTTTCCCCATTCCCTTCCCTATCCACCTTCTCAGCCTTATCACTCACTACTTACCCTATCTATTCCTCTAGTCAAACTGATCTGTTTACTATTTACAAAATAAACTCTATGGAGGCAACTAGGTGGCGCAGTAGATAGAGCACCAGCCCTGGAGTCAGGAGGACCTGAGTTCAAATCTGGTCTCAGATCAGACACTTGACACTTACTGGCTGTGTGACCCTGGGCAAGTCACTTAACATCAATTGCCTCACCAAAAACAAAACACAACAAAACACAACAAAACAAAAAACAACAAAATAAAACAAAACAAACAAAATAAAATAAACTCTATGCTTTTGTTCTCCTGATTCCCCATACCCAGAAAGTCCTTCTCCTGTCATTCAAGGTCTGCTTTGGGCCAGGATAAAACTAGGGAGTCTTGAGTTAACTCCATGATTCTACAGCACTGACCACTATTGTGAGCCAAGACACCGTGGGCAGACCTGAGACTTTTTACCCAGGTGAAATCCAGCTGTGAATCCTCTGGCAAGGGAACAGAGGAAGTTTTGAGATATTGGTGGAGTGCTCCTGGGATCCCAGTGAATCTTTCTGCCAGTAGTTTTTACTTGCTTCACTTTCCTGGCCTGCATTTTTCTTGGAGGTTATTGGATGTTTCTATTAAAGGGATTGTTCTGAGTGATCCATTGCAACAGATAAGGAACTAGAACAGGCCCAATTCAGATGTCATCTCCTCCAAGAAGCCTTCCTTAAACTCCTCACCTGCAAATAAATTACTCAACTATGCTTTCCTAGTATTGTGTTTGGACCTTTCCTACCACACTATTGTGCCTTATATAATTAAGTTCTTTGTGTGCATAGCTACCTCCCCTAATGGAGACCGCATGTTATAATGGAAAGTATCTTGGATGTGGTGTTAGAGAGACCTGTGTTAGCTTGCAAAGCCCTTTACATCCCTTCTCATTTGATACTATAGGACAAAATTCAAAGACAAACAGCTCTCTACAGGCCACATATTGGCTTAGAAAATCACAAATTAACATTACCTATGTTGTATTTTTATTTATTTTATTAAACATTTCCCAGTTACATTTTAATCTAGTTCTATAGGCCATACTAGAGAGTTCTGTTTGAGTCCACCACCTCTGCCTTAAGCATCATCCTTCAGTACTGTCTCTAATTTTTTTTTTTTTTTTTGACACATGAAGGAAATGAGGCTCATAAAGGTTAAGTGCCTTGCTCATGGTCAAATCTAAGGCTCTTCTGATTCAGGATCTTCTTCAGGATGTTCTTTTCACTATGTCTAGCACAGTATTTCGCTCATAAAAGTAGTCAGTGGATATTTGTTGAGTTGAATACGTGTGAATACAATGAAACTGAAAATTGAAAAAATGCTATCCACATCCAGAGAAAGAACTATGGAGTCTGAATGCAGATTAAAGCATACTATTTAATCTTCTTTTCTTCTGTTGTTTTGTTTTCTTGCTTCATTCTCATGGTTCCTCCCATCAGTTCTAATTCTTCCTTACATCATGACTAATGGGAAAATATGCTTAATATGAATGTATAAGTAGGGCCTGTATCAGTTTGCATGCCCTCTTGGGGAGGGGAGGAGAGGTAGGGAGAGAAAATTTAAAACAAGATCTTATGGAAGTGAATGTTGAAAACTAAAAATAAATTAATTATTTTAAAAAAACTGAAAATCGAGTCAGTATAGTGTATATAGCAATATAAATGAGAGAATAAACAGTTCTTTCTTGCAACTGGTGAGATAGCAAAGACCAAAGAAAGCGTAGACAATTTTGGTTAGCTTAGTATAAACAATGATTGTCAGGAATGAATCTAGAGAACACAGGAGCAAAGTGATAAAAGATATTAAAAGGAAATAGTTGAAGAAAATTCTGACAATGAAATACATACACACACACACACACACACACACACACACACACACGAGCATCTACAGAAGAGAAATAAAAACCCTAAAAATCCTACCTCTGGCACTAAAAAGAAAATCATTTACTATTAAGAAAAAACCCTACGATAAGCTCAAAGTTGTTCTGGGAAAGTTATGAAAATACCTTTTCTGGGAATGAAGCCATTTCAGTAAACACAAAATTTAGCTGGTAGGCAGCCAAGGTTCTACTTAAAATCAGTTCAAACATTTACTCCAGGTAAGGCCATTCTGCGCCTTAGTTTCTTCATTGGTAAAAATCAGGTTGATATCCTTGGCACTATCTACCATAGAACTCCTGAACACAGTGCTTTGCAATGTGTAAAGTTCTAGATCAATGTGAATTCTTATCATTCCTACCACTTTTGTACATTTCAAGGGAGCTCTGTTTATTCCATTAGCAAATTACAGAAACTCAGGCACCTCTCTGGATATAGTGACTCAAAGTTCCCCGGTGACAGATAGAGGCATTGTCTTGTACTCATAGAATCAGTTCTGGAGCTAAAATTCTCATTTTGCAAATGAAGAAACTGAGGACCAGATAGGCTAAGGGATTAGCCTTAAATAAAGTCATTCAGTGTTTGAGTGGCAAACTTTTTCCCCCTTGTGTCCTACAGTACTTCGCACATATGGGCTCAGTAAATAATTACCTGTTTGACAGTTTCCAGAGACTGCTTTCAGAAAGATCAGTACCTTGTTATTATTTCTGCCTATGATATTTAAAATTATAGGATCCTAGATTTAAAAGCTGCCTGGGGTCATAGAGGTCATCTAGCCCCATCCCTTCATTTTCCAGATGAGAAAACTGAGGCATGGAGAGTTGAAATGACTTGCAGGTCACACAATTAGTAAATGGCAGCACTGAGAATCAAATCCAGGTTTTCTGACTTCCAATGCAGCCTTCTTTCCATTACATAACACTGCTTCATTGTATTGAGATTTCTTTAAAATAGAAACAGTTTAAAAAAAGAAACATGGTTTAGGAAGCATCTAATGCTGAATTTGGCTGAATCTTGGCTAGCAAAGAAAACTGTCTTCTCTCCCCCCAGCCCTGCCCAATAACAAGCTGCAACCCCACCCTAGGATACTTCTGCCAATAATTAACTTTCTATAAAACAAACTTCTGGCATGAATGCCAAAACCAAAATAACCCAACCCCCACAAAAGTAAGATTATTCGTGGTTGTGAAATGAATCATGGTTCGGATCAAAACTTACCGCTGCTAACTCTTAACATGTTTAGATAATGGCACTGTATTAATTAACATGAATTCAAGCTACCTATGCACAAGAGTAGAATATTTCAAAGAAACAGTTGTGTATAATGTATCACTTAAAACCATAACATAAAAGCTGCAATATTTCACTTTGTTCTGATATATTTTCCTAGTGTTACAAATCTTTGTATATATAGTATAGTTTCTTCTACACACACTCACCCCCACACCCTCCCCTCTCACCACCAAAACTGTCACAGCAAATTTCCTACTGTTTAGGGTACTATGTATCTGCCTAGGACTTGTCTTGAAATCTCATTAAACTCCTTATTTTCTCCCAAATACTGTACTCAAAGATTAACTAGCTCCTTTTGGTTTACACATAGTTATTCATCATCACAGTGGCTCATGTAGGCATAATAGTCATCCCTAATTTACTTTCTGACTGAACTTCTTTCCACTATTAGGGCAATCCTCATTCTATACAACCAAGTTGTGATTCAGGGAAGAACAAATTTTTGTCCTCTTTGGTCTAGAGGGTGTTAATTTTTACTTTGGATTTAGAAGACACAAATGCCCATATGAATTTTTTTTCCTTGTAAGAAACCTTGCTTTTGACAAAAGGTAACAAGTAAACAGTCAACATGGGAAAGGAAGAATATCTAGGGGAAAATCTGAAAGGCACAGATGAGGAAGGCACACATTCCAAGCATAGGGGTTAGCATGAATACACAGA